ATATATATATATATATATATAAGCAAACAAATGCAAGACAAATAATAAAAATGGGAACAGTTTCCAGGCATCTGCTTGAGGATTACCAAACATCCCAAAAGGTTTGCCTCGTAGCTTCTATACACACGCAGGGTTTAATCATCAGACAACAGACTGGCTCCTGCTTCCTTCTCTCCCACACAGCTCCGTGAAGCCCGGCCTGCTGACGCACACCAACACAATGTGCGACCTCAGATTAATTCCATATCTCTCCACAGACGGTGTGAAAACAACAGGTCCACCTCACAATATGGCCACGAGCTCTGACAGATGGGAGCGTAACTTCTATTCAAAGCACAATCAAAAAAAGGGAAAGACAAGGCATGAGAAAGACATTAAAAAAACACATAATTAAAAAGGACAAGTTATGCCACAGAAGGGGATTATAATCTATTTTTTTCCACAATGAAGCGATCGGTCAGGTTTTGAATCATCTTCATCCTGATCCCAACTTCAGTCGTATAGACCCTGCTGACAACCTGCAGGTGTTTTCTTTAGAAACCCAACTCATGTAATTATGTTAGATTTTACTAGAGTAAGTTTGCAGTAGAGTAACGTGTGTGTGTGTGTGTCTCCAGCCGTGACCTGGATGATGCAGGCAGTGTTATCTACAGGTATGACAGCTGTGGCACCATCATCTACTCCAGCAGCTCAGCTCAGTCAGCGCCGGCTGCTGGTTTATTCATCGAGCTCACAGAGCCGACACCCTGACAGGCGCCTGCAGCCACARGAGCCTTCCTCATTCATTTATTTGCCTCCTCTGCAAAACTCCCTCTCCTTTTTTTTAAATGTTCAATTTCCCATCTTCATCCTTCTCTGTGGGWGGAGACACTTTTCCCTGCATTGTTGTTTATTTCTGCTCAATTCCGCAACCAAACATCCAATTTCCCCTCCTCATTACTATTCCTCGTGTCAAAGCTYAACGTATTCCTGCTGAGTTTCAGACTTTGACAGCCACTCGCAGCAGGCATGTACTCCGAGCACTGAGGGAGACATTGTTGAGACTTCCTGTTGCGATTTGAAGCTCTCAGAGGAGCAACATGAAAACTTTTATACAGTTTTTCCTCAAACAATGAGATGGTAGAGACTGAATTTCAATTACAACAGCTCTGACATCTTTGAAACAAAGTATCTGCAACTTTTTGTCTTTGTGCTGCTTAATAACAATCCTCTAACATAATAAGTTTTACTGGCATGTATGTGTCACCAGAAGTATCTGAGATTATTTTGTTACAGTGAAACTGAAGCTATTTTCTGTTTGGATTGCACATGTGCAGAGAACCWAAATCACATTTTCTACAGGTCACTTACAATACAAATGTGAACTTTTTAGATTTGCCATTTGAATTAATGAGGCYATCTCTACAGAAGCCATCAAACTCAAAACAGCAGACAGAGTATGAAACAGAAGCTAGCCAWGTTTGAGTTTTCAGAAAAAACTTTTCAAGAAAGTTACCTTATTTCCCCTCATCTAGCAGAGCTGCACCTGCCAACTGATAAATTTAAGCTGCACTAACGCTCCAGAGGCATTTCTTCTTTGCCATTTTGGTGCACAGACACATTTTTACAGCCATTTCTGTGGGGAAGTGGGAAAAAAAATTCTACCCAGTCTACAGAATAAATCTACTTTGCTGAAAAAAAAACCAACAACTTATGGACAATTTTAAAAAGTGATGAAACAACTTTTTGGCTAAATGCCTACGTGCTTGCCTCTGTATCACTTTCCGCTGAGCAGATGGCACAACATTAGCCATATCAGGAAGCAGCTCCTCATAAAAATGTCAAATAAACTATGAGCCATAAAACTAAAACCAGTGTTTCCCCTACCATTATACAGGTGGGGTCCTCACAAAGATAGGAAGARGTGTGTGTGATTGGACGCACAGCTCTGCTTTTAATCACGTAGCACRGATGCGACAGCTTTGCAAGCTACTTTTTCTTTCTTTAAAAGAAAATGCTACAGGTGAAGCCACAGCATGGTTACTACCTTATCAATAATTACTGCCTTTTTTTTTTCCTTTCTCTGTGGGTGGGGGGTCAGCTTCACGCAGCTGCAGGTGAACACCTCCCGGGAACGCACACATTTCCTGGACTATTTTCCACTGAGGATTACGTCGTATTTTYTATTTATTATATTTCTAAAAGCACTTCGCAGCATTTCCCCCTTTGTGTTCATGTCACGAGCGCAACAAAACCACAACAGATCAGCTGACTGTTTTTAAAGCGAGGGGCAGCGACTTTACAGCAGCTGCACCTGCCCACCTGCACCTCGGCTCCGACCAGCCCGGGACTGAAGAGTTCACACGTCAACCCCTTCAGACGTTTAACGTGTTTAATGAGCATAAAAAATCTGTAATTTGCACAAAAAAAAACAGTATTAATCACGCGGATGGAGAAGAGGTGCCCTGACCGCAGCTGCGCGGAGTTGGGAGGAGGAGGGTCTCATAAAGACGTGTCTATATTTGACTTTTATTTTTTCTAAAATCACAGAGTTCTCGTCAGCTTCAGATGTTTGTAGTTAATCATAATACCTTCTAAATTTAACCAGGTGTTTCAATGCCTTTAAATTACACAATCATTTTACTGGAGAAACTTGTCAGTTTGGTTAAAATAAAACAGTAAAAATATATTTTTTTTCTGTGCAGAGAACTTCCTCTGCTATAAGTTATTTTAAATTAATATATCAAAGCTCCTCAGTTGAAAACACTAAAATTATAGAAAAGATGTTTAAAAATGTATTTCCTCTGACTTCAGTCCTAAGAACACTAAACTGTAACTTTTAATAAGTACACAGTTTACTCCTATTTAAATAAAAATGTTTGACCTGTAAGCAGAAAGTTTATGGATGTTGGATGTAGATTTACGGTCTCTATTTCAAAGAAGAGGATGAGGAGGAGAACAAGGAAGTAGTTGAGAACATTTGTATATATTTCACTTTGTATACACAACAACATAGCCTACTTATTAAATTATATTTTTATTGAGATAT